CATTCATGTAACACCTTTCACATTTCTGGGAGTTCCTTTCATTGTGTTATAATTGTTACGTTTGCAGATACAGCAAATAATTAAAGCATAGTAAGGCTGGCCAAACAGCAGTTTTAGTTTTATTTGAAGGATGAATATTGGGCAAGAAACTAGGGATGCCTGTCTGCTCTTCAAACAGTATCATTGGCTTTTGCATCCAGCTGATCAAGCTATGTTACCGAGCAGTGCTATATTGTCAGAGGTGTCATGTTTACAAGCTGAAATTAAGACGTTGAATTGCCAACTGACGCTAAGTCTCATGCTGGGGCTTGTACTCGTAACCTGTTGATTTATGGGTAAGACTTTTGCCAGCTAAACCAAGTTTGTATGATTAGTTCTCAGATGTTTCCATCCCTTTCTTGGTGTAGACTTACTTCTCATTTACTCATCTAATCACATCCATGAAGAGAGGTGACTTCAAGCTATTATGAGTAATGTTAAAATGTAGTCCAGTTTTTCATAGAATACCCAAATTTGAAGTATGTTATTAAAAACTGTAAGTTCGTTATGGCTATGAAGTTGTTTTATTTTGTGTGGGTTAGTATTTCTGTTAAATTAGCAGAGAAGAATTTTATTCAATATGTTTGTATGGTAACAAGCTAACAATGATTTCTAGGCTTAACCCAGCCTTCCTTTTGAAGAATACCATGCCTGCTAATTGTTATAATTGTGTATGTTCTTTTTATTAAAAGACATGTTTAATCTTGGTAGATTAAAAATACCAGTGTTGCACTGTAACATGTTAGTGGTTAGAAGAAGTGCTGGTGCTGAATGTCGATGTTTATTAATAGTTTCAATGTAGGAAAATTTAAAGGGATAATGGAATGGATATGTAATGCAGAAAATATTAAAAGTGCATCAGGCTTTAACATAGATCTATATCATTTACAAACTTCTATTTTGTTTAGGTTGGTACTCCCTCAATTGTTTCTTGTATTGCCTTGGGTCTCCTGCAATATGCACAACCTGTCTTAGTGGCAGGTTCCTGTTCTTAAGCCTTCCCAGTGTAATTTTGAAGTGTCTGTTGGAAGTCAGATGAGTAGCCAACCAATGGTTCTCTCTGCATTTTAACTCAACCTCCTTATTAAGAACTGCCAGGCTCTCCCCACGGCAGAATAACTGAGCCCTTTTTTTTTCTCATTGGATGTAGATTTTGCTGGCTAGGCCAGTATTTGTTGCACATCCCTAATGATCCAGAGGGCAGTAAACAGTCAAACACATTGCTGTAGTTCTACATATAGGTCAAATCAGGTTTCCTTCCATAAAGGGCATTAGTGAATGAGATTGGATTTTACAAAAAAAGTGATCAGGCTGGCTTTTTATTCCAGAGTTTTCAAAATTAAGTTCAAATCCCACCATTTAACATAATGGGATTCAAACCCATGTCCCCAGAGCTTTAGCCTGGAGTTCTGGATTACGACTTCAGTAGCATTAACATTACCACTGTCTCCCTATGAGGACATATATGTGGAGATTATGGGTACAAAACCTTATATAGTACCTTATATCTTCAAATATTTTGGGTAAGGACCAGAATTATTATTTTCATTTTATTTTTAAGAGATGATTTGTGTCAGTGTAAGTGATTGGAATTGATTTTTGTATAATTTTAAACATGCCCCATCATTTGGGCTTCTTACCCAAATGATTTGACAACTGCCAGCTTAGTGCACTGAAAGCTACATTTTTTTCGTTGTTATCTATACTAACAGTTATCATTAACACTGTGGATTATAACATAACTGATATAATTCCTGTGGAAATGAAGCCAGAAAGTATTGAATGAAAAACCCACTTCATGCAGACTAAACCAACAGAATGACTGTTTTAATTGACAATTCATAGAACTGAAGGTATTGATACTATGCAGTGTAAGTTGTAATTTACAGTTGGACCCTATTGTTATTCAGAAAAATCCACGGTTCTTCTAGTTAAAAGTTTCAGCCTCTTGCAACACTTCAGCCACTGCTCACAGAGTTTGATGCACCTGATTGTCTGTCAGGGCACTTGCCCATTGAAAAAAGAGAGATGTTTTGGAGAGATGTTTGCCATTCCAGGGGCACAAAGCAAATTTAACTTGATTTTCCAAGAGGTCAACCAAAGCTGTGGCCTGTTAGCTGCATCACCCATGCAGTAAATTTGAGTGATATCATTGAAGAATTCCTCACATAGCCACTAGCACCACCTATCCTTGGGAATAGAGGGAGCACTACATAGCCATGTGACCAAACTTCTACCTCGTTAGCTTAACTAATTATGGATCAAAGAAAACCACGCTCATGTGGCAAACATTTCTTTTATCTTGGTTTTCAACAAATCGAGTATTTAACTCAGGCGATGGGGTTTCATCCTCTAGCTGAAGAGGGGGCAACTCTCCCACACTGGTTTCTATTGGGAAGGCCCACCATAGGTTGGGGCATCTAAGTGGACAGAGCAGGTATTTGCTAGGATCACGGATCGGTTGCAGGGGCCTTATCGCTCTCCTGTGGGACGCATTAGGTACATCAAGGGACCCCTGGCCACAGGTTAGTAATTAAATCAGAAATTGCTGAAAAAACACAGCAGATCTGGCAGCATCTGTGGAGAGAAAGTAGAGTGAACATCTAGGGTCCAATGACCCTTCTTCGGAACATTCTGAAATGTTAACTCTGTTTTCTCCCGACAGATGCTGCCAGACTTGCTGACTATTTCCAGCAATTTCTGATTTTGTTCCTGATACCCAGCATCCACAGTTCTTTAGTTTTGTGCAAAGCTGAGTAACAGTGGGTTAAGGGTCACAGATTTGGGATGATAGAGGGGGTTTCAAATAGTAGCAACGGCAGGGAGAGATTCTCAGCTGGCCTCACCTTCTGACATCGGTGGCCCCTCATTCAGGAGCTGAGCGCCTTTGTACATGGAACCCCCTCCCCAACCATCTAGGAGTCTGCATTCAGAACTGACAATGTTTTGCTTTTTAGCCTTGCTTCATGAATATTTCCCCACCTACTACTGATTGATTCACCAGTGGGATTAATTGCCTATTTAAGGACCTTCAGTGCCTTCCATCCTTTATCAGGGCAGAGGCAGGAGGACAGCAACACCCCTAATTGCCACCATCCTACCCCATTAATGCTTTGCTGCCTCCAAATTCACCTTAGGGGACGACATTGAAATCCACCAATTTTGTGCAGCTTGTAAAACCTGAGTCACTAAAACTTTTAAGAGATGCATTAGTGAATCTTGTGTAGCTTTGCCAATCATATGTCTGACCTGTCTGTCATTCTTGTATCAATTTCAGTTGATACTTTCCCTCTTTTTTTTCCTACCTTCTTGTTCAGTCTTTCTGTTTTCTGCTTTGTTTGGCTTTTCCAGTTCAGTGACACAAAATCCTCGGTGGACAGTCAGTCATAGTCTTCAGTGAGTGATTGCCGATGACAACTCTTTTACATAATTTCTTTATGGGCTTGGTTAGCTCAGTTGGCTGCTTGGCTTATTTGCGATGCGGAGAGATACCAACAGCATAATTTCATTTCTCACACAGGCTGATATTACCATGAAAGACTCTCCTACTCACCCTCTCCCCTTGTCTGAGGCATGATGACCCTCGGGTTAAACCACCACCAGTCATCTCTCTCTAATGAGAAAGTAGCCCTGTGAGCTGGTAGGACTTTGGCAACTTTATCTTTACCTTTCATGCATTGTCTGTTCCTTCTGTTCTTTGACCTGTTCTTCCACTGTTTAGTCAGGTATAGACCCTGACAAGAGGCATCTCGTCAATGAGGTGTGCATGCTTTTCTGGCTGTTGATGGCTATAGGAAGATGGATTGTGGCCGGGAAAGATTGAGGTCTTTCCCGGTTTATGCAGGTTTATGCCTTTGTCAAGGATGGATGCAGTGTCCCTGAGAGGGAATTGCTCTTGGTGAGAAAAGAAACTGAAGCCAGTGGTGAATCAGATCTTCATATTCTTGGCTCAATGTCTGAGTTTTGAAAGTAAGTAGTAAAATAATTTGGTATAAAGGCAATGCAGTATCCTATCTGTCTTTTTATTTACATTATAAACTACATACTCTTCTGGCAGGATCTGTGGAAAAACAGAGTTAACCTTTCAAGACTACTTTGTCTCTTTTCCATAGATGCTGTCAGACCTGCTGAGTTTCTCCAACATTTTCTGTTTTCTGTCTACTCAGTCTTTTTTTCCATTAATTTTATCATTTTGAGGTAACTTTCTTGTTTATTTCCTATCCTTGCTGTTTATATCTCCCAATTTCGCTGTTTCTCCATTTTTCCTCCATCCTAATCCATTCTGATTTGTGTAGAGTCCGTGGAGTTCATACCTTCCTGAACATTCCCACAAGTGGACACCCAAAACTGGGTATCTTTGAGGCTGTGAAGTGTCAGAATGCCAACAAGTAGACAGGCAGTTTTTACATTTGTCACACAGTCACCATAATGAAAGTGGGAGGTGTTTATTGCCATTATTTTGGTTGGATCCAGATAGCCTGAGAGAGCATAGCATTAACTTTCCATGTCCCCGTGTGTACAGTTTCCTGTTGCTTGCTGAGAGTGAGATTTGGTATGGTGAGCAGGAAGCTGTGATGGAGCAAGCTAAAAGGTCGATTTATCTGTTTGGCTTAGGCTAGGTAAATAACAAATTCCACATAGAGGGATATAGTTGTGGGCTGAGAAATTCAGGGCTGGGTGGTACCGTAAATATTATGTAGCTCTGGAGTATCCAAAAGTGTTCAAAAAGTTGGGACTGAGTTTGCCAAACTTGTAAAATTGCCCTGGAGTCTCCAGGAATTAGCAATCCAAGAGAATGCAGGGACATTGAGAAAAGTTAGTATTTTCAATTATTAATTCTAATATTGGAAACAGGGAAAACAGACTTTTTGAGTAGTTGCAAGCGACTATTCATTAGATGAAACTGTAATTTATATTCCTGAATGCTTATGATACAACATCTTTTCCTTTGTTCCACACAGGAAGATAAAGGAGATTATACATATGTAGAAAGAATTCGGATCCCACTGAGCCATGGGTGTTTGTTGGTAATGGAAGGAGAAACTCAGAAGGAGTGGCAGGTGAGAAACATACTTAGACCTTCTGAGTGATACAGCAGTTGAGAATGTTCCTCAACAAAAAATTTGTTTTTTTCCACCGGGAGACTTAGTGTTTGCTAGCACAAGACTGCAGTTATTGTGGTCGCTGTTTTCTCAAGGGCATAAAAAGAGAGATTTGCATTTATATAGTACCCTTCATGACCTTAGGTTGCTGAAAAGTAATTTACAACCAGTGAGTATAGCCACGTGTTAAGGTAGGAAACATGGAGGTCAAATTGTGCACAAGCTCCCACAAAAAGCAAATAAGGAGAAGTGTATGGAAGACTGCAGTTCCTGATGCATCTCTGATGCACCTTCATTTACCATATGCCTGTAAAATAATATACTTATAGCTTTAAAGGGCAGTGACTGCTTCTTATATGCTTTATTTAAAGAAAACAGGATGTAGGTCAGAGGCTGGGAGTTCCAAGGTAAATAACTCAGATGTTGACTTCCATAGCCTGTCCATCATCTATAAGGTACAAATTAACGTTGTGATGGCGTATTTACCATTTGCCTGGAAGAGTATAGCTTAAATAACACTCAATAAACTCAACGTCATCCAGGACAAGGTAACCCATGTTTTTTTGGCAACAGATCATAACATTTATTCCCTCTGCCACTGATGTATAGTAGCAGCAGTGTTTACCAGCTACAAGATAAACTGCAGCAGCTGACCAATGTTTCTTCGACTGCACCTTCCAAACCTGTGACCTCTGCCATCTAGGAGGGCAGGGGCAGCTGATGCATGGGAACACCACTACCTACAAGTTCCCTGCCAAGCCACACGCCATCCTGACTTGGCATCTCTTCCCTAACAGCTTTGTGGGTGTACCTACACCACATGGGAGGCATTAAATGCTGCCCTAGCCAACAAGGCCCACATCCTGTGAAAGAATAAAACAGGAAAATGAGTGAGGAATTCATCCTGCCCCTTAGCACGTTTTATTTCAAAGTCTGTGATCACACCTTTCTGTACTAATTGTGATGTTATTCAAAGCTGTTAATACATGCTGTGCTCCAACAGGGGAATTATGTCATTTGGTTTTAATTTATATGTATATTAATTATCCACCTGCAAAGTTATTGTAAAACATATCAAAGATCATGTGAATGATGACAGCATTCTCATTGAATTTAATGCCAAACAAGCTTCATTGAATAATAGTTAACAATGCCTCATTACCATTATTTCACTGTTGGACTTAGGAGTGTCTCTGTCTCTGTGTGTGAGAGTAAGTGAGAATTACATGGCCAATTCTTAGGCTAAGATACTTGTTTGAATGTTACGTTTCAAAACAAATGACTATGTAAAAGCAACTCAAATGTACCTTGTATTTGCCAGATCCTGCAAGGTATATGAAATCTCACTCAAATAAATTAATCACAACTAACTCCAATGATTAATGCAGTAAATTTTGCTTAGTTTAATATTTTTCATTTGCATTAAGTGCAGAAATTCTGCTGTGAATATCTTCAGGACTGCCAGCAACTTTCAGTACAACTCGCTGTAAGCTTCTGGGCATGTGTGAAATTTACCTTCTGCAAATCTAAGCTGGTTGCCAGGGAGATAGCTGTGAGTTACTGCAGCACTGTCTGTTTGTGGCATTGATTATTGATCCTGAGGCCAGCTGCAGACCATCCCTCTGTTTGTCTTGGGCCCCAGCATGCCTGCTGTTCCATGGATCCCTAATTTTGGCTTGCAAAGTAGATTATTGCTGCAGTTAAAATCCAAGATTAGTTATGATTAAAATTTTTAATTGCAAGATTAATCATAATGAATTTTTCTAATAGATTGACAGCTATAATTTATGCTGAACCCTTAACATAGAAAAATATCCTGATACACTTCATAGAAGCATGATCAGTTGATAACGAACCAAAGAAAAGTATAAATTAAAGGTTAATCAAAGAAGTCACTTCAAGAAGGATCCTAAAAGAGGGGAAGGAGGCGACTCTTTAAGGAAGGATTTTCAGCACATCGGCTTTTAGTTTCTGAGGCAGAGGAAATATGGGATATTTACGGCCCAATTTGGCACAACCCTGATAGCTCATGTGGCTTCTTTCTATGCTGTACTAGTCTATATGTGCAACAAGAGAGAATCAAACCACCTCCCCTTGACATGCAATTACATTGCTATTGCAGAATACCCTGCCAGCTGTAGTGATTGTAACAAGGTCAGCCAGGTAGACCATGTAGAATATGGAACAAAAAGCAAGGAAAAGCTCAGCAGGTCTGGCAG